GCATTAAGTACCTCCTTACTGGCATATTTTGCAGCAAGAAGTTAAAAGGTACAAAATAAGATGACTCCTAGTGCCATGAAGTACACGTCAGTTTTAATGATAATCACTTAACTGAGTCACAATTTTATTATGTCACAGCAAGCCACACAAGATGATATGAATAAGGAAAGCAGACTAATGAAGAGTTTTGGGTCCTTGTAACCATCGCATGGCCAATCTTTTGTTAAAGGAAACACAACATCTATAAAACACTTATTGCAATCACTCACACACACACACAAAAAGAGGGAGAACTGAATCCCAGTGACTAACTGAACCATTCAATGTTGCCAGCAGCCACAAAAATAAAACAGTCTGCTGATTATGATAATTATAAGATCTCTTGCATATGCTGAATCACATTTAACTCCCACCAACTTTTCAATGAAACTTAACATAATTACTTAGTAATTAAATATAACTATTATAATCACATATTTCCTTAAACTGAACCATACAAATGCCGATAGTCAGTCCTCTTACACTGCAGATACAAAAGACATTGTTGAAATACTATTCACAACACTTTAAACTAAAAATAATTGTTCTTTACATTTTGTTGTGTTCAACATACCAAAATTTTATCCGAAAGGTTTCTGTTCCACAGTACGCTGTTTTTAAGAAACAAATGTAATTCATTTCCAACTTCATACAAAGCAGGATTTATATGTGGCCAGTAGAACCCAAATCAAAGACACTCAATACCCTTCAGATCCAAAATACCAAATTTCAGCAGAATTGGACAAGTAGTTTTAGAGATGCAATACATGGTCCACACACAACCTGTTTAAGTGAATAATCAATTACAGCATTCAGAATTTTAATATTTACTATCTTGGAAGCAATACTGTTCAGACAACACATAATAAATGGTAGCAAAAGAGATAAAAGCATGACAGTAGACTAATCTGAACAAATATACAAAGACAATGATTAAAAGTTACTCTGAACTAAGGAGCTAGAAATGTAGGCACTCAATAACAGTTCTGATGCATTCACTGTTACCACCCCTAGATTTTCAATTTGTGGACTTTCAATGCTCTCTCATAAATTGCATAAAACAGGCAAACCTCCAACATAAAGTCAGCTGAGTGGTTCTCATGTTAAAAAATGACACAGGAAAAAAAAAAAAGGCTTTTTAAAAACCACAAGAATAACTGAAAACATATAGTGGGTGTAAAACATGTTTAATTTTTTCTACAATGTTACTTCAAAATGTTTTCTGCTCAAGACTGTCACACAAGTGCACATCTTCAGGTAAAGTGTCCATTACTGTTTACCTCACTCGAACCAAATTTGATTGTGACAGGTGTTCTGTAACATTCCTCAATAATAAATTTCATGAAAATTTGTATAGCAGTTCCAAAATTGTTATATGCAGACAGACAGACAGACATGGTGAAGCTATCAGATGCATTTTCGTAACAATTTATTGTGAATATGCTCGCCCCTCAAAGTGAATACAAGTTTTGTAGTACTGACTCATTAACATATGATATTAATGGATTATAAATGAATCAAGACTGACCAATTCCTGTAACTTCATAACAGAAGAACACACCCATACATTATGAACACTACATCAGTGGCAGCAGAAGTAGGACAAAAAGAATGACATTCAGTATAATCCAAAAAGGGCTGTGGGATATGAACAAAGTGCGTTAATAAGATTGGATGTTTTCATGGCAGTGAAGATTCAGACTGTGGTCTTCTGGGCAATAATACTGTTCAGTCTGTCAGATGATTATAAACGTATCTGAGGAACGTGGGGCAGGTTTGATTTTTACTTAATAGCATGAATAAGTAAGCCAGTCAGTAAAACCGAATGTTCTCTTTTCACATCTGAATACATCAGTTTACTGTTAAAGATATTCAAATGATATTAATTATCCACAGTCAAATAACTATTCTGTTCTGTAAAAAGGTAAGGTAAAGCTATCCCTGTAGCAGACCATGAAGGACCATACAGTCGTGAGACGTCAAGGTTGGTGTGAATATCATGAATAGTTCTCCTATAACAGCATATATGCATACACTTGGGTAACTGGGATTTATGAGGGCCAAAAATGTTTATTTTGCACATTTTTCTTAATAATTTCATACCAATTACTTTTTTATAAATCACTGTAATAGCACTGCACTGTCAAATATTTGATCTGTTCTGACAGCTTCAGGGCTTAAATTTGTTTGTATGTGTGTGTGTGTATATATATATATATATATGGAGTAATTAAAAGAGTAAACATAAATTTGGAGTTAATATGAGTTACATTACAGCTGGGTGAAACAAAGTACCGATACTTGATATTTTAAAAGCATACACCTGAGCAATGAAGATACATTTCTTTCTTCCTTTCTTTTTTTTTTTTTCATTGGCGCTACAGCCCTCATTTGGGCCTAGCCCTACCTCCATGAAACTCTCCATTTCACTTCGGTTTTACTAGATCTTAAGACATACGGTAGGACTCCTTGGGCGGGTGATCAGCTCGTCGCATGGCCTCTACCTGTACACAAACACAGAAAAACGCACATAAACATCAATGCGCTGAGTGGGATTCGAACCCACGATCCCGGTTTCCAAGCGAGCGAAGACAGTGCATGTCTTAGACCGCTCGGCTACCGTGACCGGCAATGAAGATACATACTATACCTTAAATCTGATAAACATGTCTTTTCTTGCATATATAATCTTGTCTTACATCAACTGATAATATATGTACAACTGATACTCTACAAATATACTTGTTTAACTTAAATACAATAAATTGTCTTTTCAAAAGTAAAGCTTTCTTTTTGTAAAAATGGGAAGTAGTTTTATTACTGACATTTCTTAAAATAATTAGGAGACTTTGCACATTAATGTCACAAATTCCATTATAAAAATATTATAATACATGTTTATACAAAATGATGAAGACAGTTATTACCATTTTCACGTAAACTGGATTTACAACGTTTAGTGGGTCCGCTCTGTTTAGCCAGTACATATGGAAAGAAAATGTATTATAAATACAAAATGGAGTAGCACTGATAGTTTGCCACTTGTAGAATCCAGGAAATTGTATGTCTCAAAAGGGGTGATACTTATCACAGGTGACAGCGGCTGCTGCTGCTAACACCACCACTATCACCACCACCCACACTACTACTACTACCAGCACTATGTCTTCATGGACCTTTTAGAGTAGCCTTGGCTTCCCTGATCACAGGTACTTCTAACAATAATAGTTTGTACTCAGGTTCTTGGGTCTTACATATATTACTGTAACAATTACTGTTTTTTGTGGCCAAATGCAATTATCCAGTGAACCAACAGAAAGAATTAGTTTCAAATATGGTCTAAGCTACATAACTTGACTGAGGTGAAGCCAATGGCACCTTACACAAATTAATAACTATGGTACTTAGCACTATTTCCATCTTGTAATTCCTATAATTAAATGTTAACAAGAAAAAATAATTTTTATACTCGTCTTGCCTAAGTTTAATGACCTTACTTCATTGCAGTTAAACTTTAATTATCACACTTTAGATGTAAAACTACGTACCTACAATTTTTTATTTCCACTGCAAAACAGTCATTTTAAAAGATCTATCACATTTCAAATTTGAAAATCAAGCACTGAATGATGGTAGCATTACTTGCCATCTATGTCAGCATATTATGTTATTTCATACTGACAGTATGGATGAAAAAAATATACTGTCACATGATAGAGTGACTACAGATGGGATGTGGATTGTTAATTGGATTATTGAACACTTTCAGGTAGTTTTTAGTTTGTATTTCTATGTTGCACAGAACAGAAAATGTTTAGTTTTTTTCTGAAAGTCTGCAATGTTAAAGACTTAGGGTCATTTAAATTCCGGCCGCAGAGGGCTGCTGGCAATTTAAAACTCCGTACGTTAAAGGTTAATGTTTCTTTTCAGTAACACTATGCCCACCCATGTTTCACCTAGAGTTAAAGCACATTCAGTGAAAGAAAAAAACAGGTTTGCAAAGAAGCCATTCCTGACAAATATTATTCTTAACAATGTTCAGGTGCTATATCTTCGATAACCTTCACTGGTGGGAAATAGGTAACAGAGTTCACATTTTGGAAGAACATTACAACTTCCATTATGGTTTTCAACCAATTCATGTCAGGGATGGTACTAGTCATATGTGGATAATCACACCACTGAGTAATGTATGAATAAATCAGCCATCAGAAACCTTTGTTACAAAGAAGTGAAATCTCCCATGGGAGGGGCTCCATGGTCTATAAATCATGTTACTGGGACTGATTTAGAGAGGAGTCATAATTAATCAGTCATGGAGCGACAAATATATAATTAGTTAATGGTTGTAATATTAAAGTGGACCTACTGAAAAATTCAGGATGTCGTCCCATAGGAACAAATAGTCATACATTTTGCCGCGCGTTACCTATGTGATGCGACAAATTCACACAGGTTTTGGATTTGGTGAATATGTTTATTGGCCAATCTCCTCTAAACTTACAAGTACAATTATCATCCACTTACAATGTCATCAGCCATTTCTTACAACACTGTTGTAGTTACTTCTTGCACCGCTAATCTTGGTGAAGATTCCTGGCATGAGAAATTGCTCCTTTCTAAATGTTGGTCGTACCTAACAGCCTAATGGTGTTTTCATCCTTTCATCTGCCCCCTTCTTCAAGGGTGCTCGTCCCAAGCAGCTCTGTGGTACTTCTAGTCACTCTATGTTCTTGTCACCTTTCGCTTTCATTCCATTCATGGAGGGGAGGCCATTGCTTCTACATTACCGGTTCCTCCTCTCTGCACTATTTAACAATTTCTTTCATTTTGGAGGGACTCGACCACTCAATAAGGTCCAGTTTCTCACCTTCTGTAATATACTGGAAACCCAGATGGTTCTCTTCACACCCTCCAACATGAGAGCATGTCCAAGGGCCTCATGTAGTGTCTTCATGTTTCCAGGAATTAGTTCCTTGAAGTCTCAGCTCCTTATTCCTCCGTCACCTCCTGGATGTGATTTACATCACTTCTGGACTGCTAGTCTTTTCTGGGATCTTGGTGCAACATTGTCCCTGTTGTGACCCTGATGACTGTCTCCTACGCCATGCCACTTCTGCGCGGCGGGTTGTCCTCAGACACTTTTCCTAGGTCATGTTTGTCCTGAAGATCTCTCTCCTGCGTCATGCCACTGTTGCATGACGGGACACCTTCCTGTCAGTTTCCTCACACATTCATTCATTCATTCATTCATCCATCCATCCTGCAAACAATAAAAACTGATCACAAATTTACTAAGAGGAAATAAATATGTGTTTTTAAAAGAATTATGTGTGAGATCACAAGTTACTGAGGTCACAACTGGAGGTTCATCACATCCTAATACCAGTCTGACTGCACCTGAATCATACTATGCAGTATGCTAAGTTTCTCTGTCAACACTACCTGTAACATAATCCTGTTCCAAGGGTTATAAGTTCTCTGAATCCAAAAGTTACCAGTAACCAAACAGCTGAGCATCAAGACATCTGAGAGAAGACTGGTAATCAAGGATGTAACAACCACATTCCACAACAAAGATTTCCACTGCTGGAATTTGGTTTGGGAGCTGTTTTAAACTGCACTCTGAGGCAAAGCTCAGTTACAGTCCAAACAGCCAGACTGACAAAAGACACACATACCCAGAGATGTTTCATGCAGACAAAATGCCAGTGCAAGCATAATACCTTTTTCTGCTACTATTCTGTTTTGTTCAAATAGATAAATGCATATAATTCCTATTATGTACTCAATTTTCTTCCCACAACACTTCACTTAAAGGTACTGGGCACTCCTACTACAAACATTCCTGTAACTACAAAATAAAAACATTAGATAAAAACAGAAACTGATACGAATACGTCCTTAAATAAGTTAAATCATTTCTTAATTTGATAATGGGCAGTTATGTAACATTCACTGTATTCTGAAACTCTTAAAAAGTTCTGGGTTGTGATGTTTTTAATCCAGTGCTTCACTGGGAAATAAAACTTCAAATGCACTATCTAACTACTTAACACTTTAACAGCATCCAACACAAATCTGTTCTGCTCCTGGTATACAGTTACCTTCACAACTCACATCATTATCACAATAAATAACACTATTCTTCATATGTTACTTCCTCCCTCTTTTGCACATCTAAGTTAATTACACAGGTCGAGATATGCTAATAAATACATATCATCCTGGCACATATTTACACAATTTTAGTTTTCAATTCAGTCTCTTCGATAAATTCTTTTATATCCTTCTCAAACAGCTTGTTCAAATAATCTCTGTTCCGTTCCTTAAAAATCTCTAGCGTCCTGATATCTTCCTTCAGTTTTTGTAGGCTGCTGTCAGTATTTTCATTTAAGATTAGAACATATTCCAAAGAACTCTGCCTGTAACAGAAATGAATGTGAAATCAACATCTGTTCATGGAGACTGAAACACTGTAATAGAAATGAATGCAAAATCAACATCTGATCACAGAGACAGGAACAATTCAGCATACAAAGGAGCAGTGGCTACTCAAGGACAAGTTCAGAGATTTTACCAGGGGGAATGAATTTTGGAAATAAAACTTGGAGACACTTTAATAATAATAAATGCCAAACAAACAGAAAATGTTTTACATAAGGTCCAAACTGAGGACTATAATAGTGACAACACATCAGCCAAGTCCATGATTTATTTCAACCGTCTTCCAGTGCATACACTCATCTACCTCCTCCTCTCACTCGCACTACATGTTTTGGCACAAAAGTGCCATCTTCAGGTGCTTATTCAATTTACGCTAAACTAGTTCATTGCATGCCTTGTCTTCATATTAAAATAACTAAAATATATATTTATCATATATATTGATAAATGTTAAATGTTAAAAATATTAAAATTGTTCAGGAATTTTTTCTTCCCTACGCTGTATCTCACTACGCGAGTCACATCTATCCTCTTCTGTTGGAGCACTCTTTCACTATCATGTATTATTGTGCTTTGTGTTGTTTCTTGCTCCTGTGACTGCGTGTGTTATACTGCTGGGCCTGCTGGGTATGTGTGTGTGTGTGCTGTCTTTGTTTTGACTCAAAACGAAGACAGCACATTAAAGAAGACTTTACACAGCTGCATTCACGTATCCCCATTTAACCTGTGTGTGTCTCCAACCCAGATTTATCTAATGTGCCATTCTTATGGAATCTAACTTCCCACTCGACCAGGATTTACTGTACACCGGGTCGTTGACTTACAACCACAAAAAAATGAAAAATAAAAGATGATTAATCATTTTTAATTTTTCATCCTTGACACGTTTCGGTAGGAGCAACTATCTTCAGAAGGACATATCAATACATGTGGAAACTACTATTACAATGTGACTGAAAAACATTTATCAATCACAACGGATGGAGTTGATAATACTTTATGTTAAGCTATTCATTAGTTTACTAAAATCAATAACTACAGAGTAAATTCTGCACTTCAGAACACATTCCTTATTGCAGTAAAATGGCTGGAAACCTTCAGCAAGGTTCCTTTACTGAGAAGATATAATACTGCTTCATTTCCACCAGAAACCATAAAAATTGTGCACACAATTATACTACAAATCTAGTGTATACAAACCATTGGATCTACAAAAAGAAACTTCTGCTATAAACTGCAAGAATAATCACTGATACTCACTGGTATAAACTGCTCAGTAGCTTTTCTGTGTTCTGAGGCACAACGTATCTTGTGTATGGTGTTATGTGACAAATATTATCATCCTCTTCTGTGAAACCATGAATACTGGAAACAAAGAAATATCAAAATAAATGTACGTAAAGGTTCTATAGCTCAGAACATTTTAAAAGAAAAATACAATGCCTAACCAAATAAACTAACGAAGAGGCCCTCTGGTACATGTGATAACTTCAAAACATTACATAACAGGACTCATATTTCGAATCTGGCAACACTACAGTGCAGTTGCCTTCAAAGTACTGTCCTTCATAAAACATTCATTTTCCGGATCCGCTACATACGAGTATGACATCCTACAACACAATCTTAAAAGTCAATTGAACTTTGGTTGCATCTGTGAAGCAACAGTCCTTCAGCCAGTTTAACCAGAGATAGAGCCACCTTTGTTTATGAATGCTTCAAGAAAACTGTCTCCTGCAAATGGGAGAGAACACTCTTATACACAGCACCTTACTCTTTTTGATTCCTAAGAGTAGAGATGGGGCAGAGTCCCTTGATACCTAGGCTGTAAATTGTTGAATGTACCAGACACAAATAACAGATCGATAACACGTACAGATAGGGACAGTTAGTTCCAGAGTGTTTCTTTTCAGCAGAACTATTTCTACTCTCTTAAAAACCATAATTGTCATTCCCAAAAACAATATATGCAAGAATGAATTAAAAAACTGCTGTGTAACAGCTTCCTTTGTAGTATGTGTTGGACATTCATTCCCCAGGGATTACCTATCTCATATATAGTGTCACGTGTTTGGAGTTCCATGACAAATAATTGTGGATTCTGGCTTAGGCGAAGTTGTTTTATTGGACGACTCATTTATACAGATTACAGCCTTCTGCTATTATAAAATAAATATTACATGGGTCTACTGAAATTAACATTTTTATCTGGACTATCAGTATTAAAAACTTGAAAAATATAATCAAAATCATTCAATCTATTTGTGAGAAAAATAAAATTTGCAAGTAAGTCTCAGATGGAGACCACTGATTCACCTACAGAATATTGCTTTAATCCACTGCCACTACAGATCATTAAAATTTAATCAAAATTAGTCCGGCTGTTTGACAAAACTGACATTTTCCAACTGAGCTGCTAGACAGTGCATGGTTATTTTCCCGAAGATAGAACCTATGAATTTTTTTTTAGAAAGACGGTCTCCATGAATTAGTAAATTGTAATAAAATTGCTACAGTTGCTGTTGAGAGAACTGCAAATTTTTATTTGGGGATTCCTAGAATGGGCCCTATTTTTTTGCAACCAGACTGTCTGTTCACTGCACTATAGCCTATGATGAATTAACTCTAAATACAATATAAGAATAAAATCCATGCAACTGTTGAGGTGCTAATGAGGTGCATACACATAAACACACAAAGACAGACAAACAAGACAGCATTCCAAAAGCTACTCTCCTGTGTTCTTGAATACTGAAGACACACAGATCTGCCAAAATCTAGGGATCGATTATTTTCACAATTGCAATGCTTCTTACACTATCTACATAGGAAGGCAAGAAACATAATAAAGCAAACAACCCACCGAACAACAAAAACTCTCCCATATGTGTTCTTCTGTAAGTCTTCCCTGAGTATCCTCAGCCCATATGAGAAGAGATCATCCAACCATGTTGGCTCTTTGTATAGGAGTTTCACGTGCTTGATGAGAGCTATCTGATGCAGCACTGCACACTTACTCTCAACAACTACAACTTTCACTTCAGGACATGTTACACGCGTTGTCAACCAATCGGTTTTACTCTGATACAATTCTTCTTCAACAAGAGGGTCAAAGCAATCATACACCTGCAAAAAAAGATAGAGAATGTTTTCATGAAGAACAAAATATTTTGGTAACAAACCTTAGAAAAACCTCTCTGATGGGATGGACACGCTGATCTGAAAGACAAACAAGAAATAGGTGCAAAATTTGGTGAAGGAAACCTCTTGGAAGATGGACATTTGGAAAACACAGTATTGTGCAGTCATCACATGGATTTTTGAGAAATAAGCTGTGAGTTAAACAGTGAGAAACTTAACACCTGAACACCCATGAGTTTGCTGCTGCCCTACCTGCAATAGTCTGCCATTCTGCAACAACAAACACCCTGATGCAAAACAAATACTGCATGAAATTACTTGGTAGATGCTGTTCAAGATGTCAGTTCTCACTCTGAAACATGTCTAGCTGAGTATGAAGGAGTGACATACTGTGAAACATTATCTATGTGTAGAGAAATCTATTCTGGTCATCACAGATCTCATAAACGTGAAACAATAATCACCTTTTCAAAATTTCCTTTTTGTTTGTTCGTGTTCAACATACTGGAATAGTTATTTGTTAGGTTGCCTAACTTGTGAGGTTCCTACAGAACCATTAGCCGCAGACAACATCTAAGAATTAAATGAACTACAGTAGAACTTGGTTATAACGTCATCAAAGGGACCTAAAAATGGTGTCGTTATAAACGAATGTCGTTGTAACCAAAATGGGCACTTCCACAGTAGCCTTATGTTAGTCACGTAAAAATCTACCAAAACCCGAGTTAAAATGTTGCATTTTTTAGTGAAATACGTAGTTAAGTACAGACTAACGTAACATTAACGTGGAATTGATCAAATGTGTAATATCAAAGACATATTACAGCG